CCCTCAGACACTCACTACAGCTGCAGATGGGTTCACCCTCACTACAGCTGCAGATGGCTTATATGCAATAGCAATATCACAGAACATACAAGTGGGGACCATTTCCAAATGAATCTGGCCCACAATTCTGCACTCAGCACAGAAATGTTTGCAGATTCTTCCCTTCATGGTTGTAGGACACACACAGTGTCACACATCACATCATTCTGGTGCCTGGTATAGGGTAAAGAGGCATAGGTGGCTCATCATCCCAGTCAACTGTCTAACGACTCGTTGTGCCTAATGATGTACTTCAAGATGCATGTTCATGGGACGCTGGACCCAGTTTCCAGCAGGTGCAGCTCCCCACCAATAGATGGAGTGATCCAAATGGACCTACTAGGGGGCTGGCGCTCGTATCACACCTCCTAGTAGGATAGGATATTATGAATTTGGTGACGACTGTCATTTCTCTTTTCATCCCACTGTTCACATCTTCTGAGGTGACTGCCCAAATTTCGTCGTACGTCTGGTACTTCATGGCCAGCGACTCTTCAACTCTGCTCTCAGGCACTGGAGAGAGCGGTAGCAGGTGGATGTATGAAGGCTCTGCCAGGCCCCGCCATCAGCGCCAATTTCACGGGAGAGACACGCGGTTTCCATTTCCTCCTCCCGTAGGTCTAGCCTGTAGAGGCTGTCTTCCAACAGGTTTATTGATGGCGGGTCTGCTGTGTCCCCCACTTCTGCAACTGTTAATTTGAGCTGGTCTAGTATGTGTTCATGGTCTGCCCGATCGTCAGCCATGGGGAACAGATTCGCAATGGCCACTTGTCTTGATGACGACGGGCTTTTTCATTCTCTGCTGCCACAGCAGATTGTATAACAGGCTGTTCGCTGGCCGTGCGTTCTTGATCGCGTCCATGACCAGGTGCTGATGCGGACAAGCGAGGTGTCTTCCTGCCGCTTCAGCGTTGATGGTGTTTTTTGTTGCCATTGTGTCGTATCAGGTCGCCATGTCCCTGAGCTCTGGACGGAGAGGATGCTCTTAAAAAAAAAGAGAAAAAAAAAGAGACAACTGCGCCTGTGACCCCTGCACAGTTTCGAATTGGCATGAATAACAGTCCACTGCAAGCTTGGGCGTTCGAAACTGCAAGAAAACAGTAAGGTGGGAGCAGGGCTGCCTACCTGTTCAATAATTGACAAAAACGGGAGGTGGCGGTTGTGGTTGTTTTCTTTTTTTTTTTTTTTTTTTT